GATCCGGGCGCAGGGATGGAGCGGCCAGCCTTGTCCCTGCACGAAGGTTAGCGGTGACACGATACGACGTCCCGCGAAACTACGTACGAAGACGTCGACATGAATGCCAGGATACCGCGGATAGGGCAGACGAGCTCAAGCGCAGTCTTCGCGTTCATGACAATCTACACACCTGCACCCTGAGCTTCCATGAACTACGTAGAGAGGTCAGCAATGATATCAGAACTGCAGGATCGGAGAAACGTACCCCAGCACGGGTGGTCGTGGTTGGGCGTGACATCTCCGTCGGCTCACGGCCCATAGCAAACTCCGTCTCCGTATTGCTGGTAACCTTCTTGTTGGCGAACTCGTAAGAACCCTCCTCAGAGAAGTCGTCGAACCCTCCAGCGATTATGACCTTGGCCTTGCCAGAGAGAATCGTGTCGCTGGCAATCTCGAGAGCCTGGAGCGCGGTGGCACTACATGCAGTGCATTAGTATCAACGGAGAATAACTCTGCTCAAACATGTAGCAAGCACCAACCGGAATCTTGATCGAACCAGACGAAGATAACAAGAGCAAGTTGATCCAGCCCACCGTCGTGTTGACGAACCTAGGAAGCCCAGTTAGCGAGGAGCGAGGAGCAAAGAGTGAGAGAATACGCACGTCTCCTGAAGGACATCAGCCTGTACCTCCTTCTCATCGCGGCGGTCATTGAACATCTTCGCCATCGACTCCACACCACCCATACCTGAATCGATAGATGTGCCGACTTCGGACGGGTGAACGTGCTCGTAGAGCTCGTACGGGTCCGTGATGCCGGAGTTGTTGAGAGCCTCGGCCGTGCTGGTGAGCGCCCAGAGGGAGACGCGGTCGATGTGAGGAATCATGTCGTCGGGAATACCATAGCGGCCCGCAAACCACCTAGTAGGGAGCTGATCAGCAACCTAGCGGTTGAAGACGACCGCCTTCGGCATCCAGACGCGTGCGCCCTTCTTGAACTTGACGAACCACTGTCCGCCCTCGCCAGCCCAGATGTCGCAGCGCTCGGCGTGCTCGCGCTTGAAGCGCTCGGCCTCATCGCCAGCCACCTCCAGCGGCTCCAGGTCATGCAGAAGCTCGATCTCCTGGTGGAAGATCTTGTGCTTGGGATCGTAACCGCGGAAGAGTTCAGGCTGTCTCACACGTCAGTTAACGGTCAGACATCAACGCAGAGGGATAGGCTTACCGACAAGACGGACACCAGCGTGAGTAATGATGTCCTGCTGGTACTTGCCCTTGATGTTCTTGTCGTCAACAGGCTCGCCGGACTTCGAGTCAACCCAGCCGACGTGGGGCGAGCCATCCTTGAGGCGCTCATCGAGGTGCTTGATGTAGCCCATCATCCAGGCCATCTCGATACAGCCCTCGAGCGTGAGCTCGCCGTGTGCCTCCATCTCCCAGCGTATACGAGCACTACTCCATGGGCCAACCTCGCCGTAGCCAATGATGATCACAACCTTCTCAAGATCGATGACGTCACGGAGCTTGGCGAAGTCCTCGAGCGTCTCAGGTGTCTCAAGCTCCGGGAAGTCGAAGCCGAAGTTGGCGCAGGGCGTGACGTTGACAGTCTGCAGCACACGCTCGGCCTCGACGCCGTTGATGGTCTTGAATTCGGCCGAATTGCCACAGGCGATGGGGCGGCGTAACTTCGCCTTCTTATTGATCGTCGGGCGGATGCGAGTAGTGATCTCAGCGAGGTCGGCGACGCGGTCCATACCACCACTGAGGTCGGCCCAGATAGGCTCAACTTGAGTGATCGAGAAGAGTAGCGGGTGCATGAGACCGAGGATGTTGAAGGACATCTCCTTGGCGGAGAACGTGCGGACACCATGTGCCTCGACCTCCTGGGCCACCATGTTCGTCGCGTCCATGAGCCCGGTACCGCGAGTCCAGCTGTGAAATGTATGAGCAAAAGCGCAAGTGATAGATGGATGAATGAACGGACCCAATGAAAGCTCCGGCAAGGCCGAGGTATTCATCTCAATTCTCGGAGTTCCAGCGGATGAACAAACTCTCCAGCGAAATCTTCGACTCAGAGTACAATCCGTCGTTACCGAAGAGACCGTGGTTGGGCGAAAGCGGGAGGGTCACCTGCGTCGGGCGCGTGACGAAGTTGCGAGACACCTTCTTAATCTTAACCGCCCCGAGGAGACGAAGTAGGTTGACCAACATGATGCGGTGCGCGAGCTCAGACTTGTCGTTGAGACCGTCAATCTCGCGGCCGTTCTCAGGTACAGCAGCGATGGGGGGAATGTAGTCGAGATCGAGACCGAGAGTGCCGTAGATGTAGTCGACGATAGCCTCGACGTCTTGCTTTGAGCCCTGATTAAACGGTACCACAGTGAGGGCGGAGCCGCGCGAGCCGAAGCGCTGGAAGATGCCCTGATAGTACTCGACAGATGCGCGGCTATAGCGGGAAGTGGTGATGACGACGTGCGCGCCACCCGAAAGCAGACCCTTCAGAATCTCCACACCGATCGAGCCCTTGCCGACACCAGTGAGAAGCGCATTCTTGTCCTTGAATGTCGTGCCGAAAGTCGCGATCTCGTGCAAGATGTCGAGGTAGATGCCCGTGAGGTTTGAAGAGTACTCCCAGTTGGTGCCAACCTTGCGCTTGAGGTGCAAGAGGGAGACCTTGTCGGCGGCGACGGGGGCAACATTAGAAACATGCGGACACAGGAACTGCGAAGACACGTGGCGCGTGCGAGGCTGGCTAGCATGAGGGTGTGTCTCGGCAGGTTCGTTCTTGATCGAGCGGACGACACTGTCGTAGAGGTCCTTGATCTTGCCCTTCTGCTCCTCGGAAATCTCTGGCTGTGTCTTGACCCCGTTCCACAGCTTGAGCACGTCCTCCTGGATCTTCTCCATGTTCACCGCATCGGTGACGACGTTGTCCGTGCTCGCCATCTCCTCGACATATGCTTCGAGCTTGCGGACATTCTCGTGCACAACCTCCGAGTAGATGATCTCACCCTTCGCGGTGACCTCCGTCTTCGGCGCGGTGGGGAAGGTGACTGGGTAGATATATGAGGATCAAGAAAGCGAATTTAGAAAAGTGTAACGTGCCATCTTTGTGCAGCGGCGGGTGGCCGACTGCCTCGGTACAGTTGTCGATGAGCTTCTGTCTGAACTTCTTCGCCAACGCATATCTACGGAAGAAGTGAGCGAAAATACGAGAGGCAAGTGGGTAAGGACATACGTCTCGCTCTTGTTCGCGTCAACCTGATCAATCGCATATTGCATGTACGTGATGAATTCAGGGTCCGTGCGGTTCATGATG